CACGGCCAACACCATTGACGATTATCTGAACCGGTCCTGGGCCTCCCTTTGATCGACTCAGCCTCAAATAAGTACCTGGTACGGTGTGTAAAACATTGCCACTGGGGAGACAAAGGCGGCCGGGCGTGGTGCTGGCCACCGACCCCATTGTGTACTGTGCCGGCCTTTATAGGTGCTCGCTAACAGCACTTGCACCTACAGTCTGTTAAAGACTATACAGGGGATCGCCGTCTTTGTCTTTGATAGAGATGGACTCTGCCTACTGTTTATAGGGTTGTGAAAAGTTTAAGTGATTTCTTCCTCAAATGCGCATTGAATCATTGGAGCGCTGAGCCAGTGGTGGGAATTCATAATTCAGATGTCGGTAGCGAGTTTAACCACAGGATATAGCCACTGTTAACTTCCTCACGTAGTGGTAGCTATTTTATCAACCCAAAGAGTTAATGGGCTGAGTCTAACCTCTAACCAGGATTTAACCTTGCGACATTCCTATCGCTGAAAGTGTATCGCTCTGCAACTGAGCCAGATGGCCCCCATGTAGTTGTGGAGTGAGAATGGCTGATGCTGCTGCTGCTAATTCCACTGTTGATGATAATGATGTTACAAGCAGGGAGGTATGCATGCTCATTTTACCTGACATTCCTATTAGGGGCATATCTCACCTGCAAAATTAAATTCCGAGATGTGCCGCTGCACTGGTTTGACATGCTTCCGCTCTGATGTGAAAGTTACAAAGCCCTCTAACGTGGAGTGATTCCAATTCATTTGTTTCTTAAAATCCACGACACCATTCCCATATTTTCTCAACAAGGCGTGGGTGATGTGTATAATTGAAATACCCACGCTACTGAGCAAATGTCCCACTCTCAATCTCGGGCTGTTCTCCGGATTCCTATTCTGCAAATATTTTTTTGTTGCCGTGCCACTTCTCATCTCGACATTTCGACATCATCGACGCGCTCCATCCAAATGCCAATTAAGTCGCGATGACACGGAGCGCCTCCGTCGATTGGCAAACACGCAGCAAATCGCGAGACCGGAGGGAGGGAGGCATGATGACAGAGCGCGGTTTTTAAAACCGCGGCTCCTCTTTCCACCCCCGCCCCCCTCAAGCTGCGCTTGGCAACAGCGACTGGCAGGTCACGCGGCAACAGCGCTCTCATCGGTCGATGCAAGCGTTTGTCACGTTGCTCCGAGCCTCAGAGCCGAGCAAGGCTGGTTGCGGACGCGTCTCGCGCGAAGGTGGCGTTTTACCCCGACGCGTTGCAGGACTCACGGTTTATACCGTTCACGTTTTCGTACGCAACAAAAACAAATCCTGCTGGCAACTACAACTGGGTGTTCACAGTTTTGTGATAAACACGATAGCCGTGCCTGGGCTAAAAGAATACCACACACATTAGCTGAATTTGTTAATTGTAGCAATCGTTATTTTCGTGACAACCGCCCCCCCCCCCCCTCAAATGCATTAATTTTGGGGATTATAAAAAGTTAGGGAATTAATGTGAACAGGTATCATGGAATTGTTTTGTTTACTTAAAAAATGAAAACGCCAGAGTTGGTCACGTGGTACAGGGGTCAGAAGACTGAGCCGGCACCGTCTAAATCCTGGGTTCTAATCCAGGATTTTAGACGCTCGTGATTCAACTGACTTCTCAAGTGTAACTCAAGTTCAATGCTGTGAAAAAGGGACATTGCCTGAAACATCAGCTCATATATATATCTCCTTTTAAGGCCATGGTTTTACTTACAAATGTTGAGCTTTTTTTTTTTACAAAGTATAGCAAGTTGATGATCTAAGCTTGTTGACTAATGACTACGTAAAAAGTGGAAAGCACCCGATGTTACTAAATGAAGTGTTCACTTAATGTGGCTAAATTCCAGCTCTTAGAATGCAAAAAAATCATATCGGTTTTACTGCCATATGACGGGTGATATTTCTGTTTATAACAGGGCATGTAGGAAAGTATGTATGTTGATCCTCTTTCGCACCGTACGTACCCAACCATGCTAATGAGAGGTTCGGGGGGGGGGGGGGGAGGACAACAAACCAAACACAAAAAGCAGTGTGACCACTCATGTTAGGATTAAAAACAAAAGCATCCCATCATGGACCGTTCTCTAACGCAGGATTCCGCCACCCCGCAAGATTCTCGAAACTACATTTCATCTCGTGCCAAGACGGCGATAGCACAATCGGAGTAAACATTTCAGGGAGAGAGAGAGAGAAAGAGAGAAAGAAAAAAATGGCAAAAGCAGTGAAAACGCTTCAAGCCAGTGACAGTGCAACACCTGTAAAATGCCAATACGCAATTAACAAGCTCTCTGTAGCCATGCTGGGCCAGCAGGAACCTCACAGCTGGGCCCTTTCCTTCCCCCGGGGCACGACGCTTTGAGGTTAGTCAAGGTGGAGCGTATCTACTGTCACGACCGTCGCGACTCGCCTGCGACTTTCATACAAGGCGGAGCAGAAATAAATGAAAGCCAAGAACCTCACTATACATCAGCGCATAATGCTTATTGATTTTTTTTCTGTGGCTTTGTAGCGGGCTTACTTCGGACAATGCTAAACTGTATCAATCAATGCATCGCGGATTGTCGTGCGGCCGCGCCGCTTGCGGTTTGACACCACCCGTTCTAATGGCAGCCTGCTGCTGATAGTGTCGGATTAATGTGAAACCTTTTTGTGTCCGCGACGCGATGGAATAATGCAAATGTACCCCCAATTAAAAAAAACACGCGCGTAGCAGACACGTCTCTCATGTTTAATTATCTTCATTATTCCCTATTTAGATCCGTGGCAGTTTGAGTCACAAATGTGACTGTAAACGAGCGCTAATGCGAGGGATACCGTGTTGTGGCTCATCCGGCTCATTAGAAGAAGAAGAAAAGAGGGAGAAAAAAAACCCACCCCTACCGCGTGCCATTTCTCCTTCGGAATCTCCTTCCCCCCTTTTTTCGCGGAACGTCGAATTCCGGGCGGAATCGCAGAAGCCCCCCGACCCCCCCCCCCTCCCTCCCTCCCTTAGTGTTTGCGACCGTAATCAGCCCCGATCCAGTGTTTGCCGATTGTCGCGTTGCTTCCACGCCGCCGGCGCCGTGTCGCGATGTCACCCAGATAAATAAAGGCCACTTCAAAATTGTCAGCCGCTTGGGAAAGAAGCCCTCTTTATTGCCTCCCGTGTCGGTTGCAGACAGGGCATTAATCTGAGCGTGATCGGAGAGGTGGGGGGAAGGCGGGGGGGGGGTCCCTCCACCCACGCCCCCTCCACCCCCCCAATGGGACTCACCCCTCCCCTCGACACCTTCCTCCTTCGTGGTGGCTCGCCGTGTTGCCGCTGCAGCAGCAGCAGCAGCAGCAATAATGACCGCAATAGTAATAATAATGATGTGCTTTCCCGCCGTTATGGATGGGCTTGGCTCACTGCCGTGTTCCTCGGGGGGATGCCCGCTGAAGGCAGATGTTGGGAAATGTTTCGTGACGTCGCGTTCGTGAGCCTCTTTCTTCGGTCCTGCGTCTCTGCCGACGAGGCCTTTGGCAGCGGTTTGCAGTCGACACAGTTGCAACGAGTGAGGCAGACAAACAAGCCCCAAAACATGCTCTATGAAGCCTGTTTTCTTCTCTTCGTCATCAGCATCATCATTATTAATTATTCAAACACTTATACGTGGAAAGACACACGTTATCGGTCGAACGAAAGATTCGTAAAATGAAATTGCATCGGTCCTTGGCTTCACAATCACCAACAGCACCGTCAGCAACAGCGGCCGTGATTTATCCACTGCTGGATGAATGCCTCGCCACAAGCCGTCACCGTCTGCCACTGCTGGGAAGCGGCAATCCGCCGAACAAGCACACGCGAGCTAATTCCATCACCAGGGGTCCCCTTCGCGGGTCATTCTTGTGAAACAGCTTCTCAGCTGAATGTTACTTACCCGCGTCAACCAAGAAAATCAATCAATCAAAAATCAATCCATCGCTCCATCTCTGTAGGGGATGCGGCTCTCTCGGGCGCGTTTACTCTGTGCACGCATCAGATTTGGCGTGGGACATTTCATTATTGTGGATTCACGTACGTTGCGTATACTGCGATTCGTTCGCCACGTGACACTTGCGGCCACTGGAAAGCGCGACGATGCAACGCGTTATTGAATCAACGCGCCACTCCGAATCGTGACAATGAATTATACGGCAAGGGGCGTCTGCGCACAGGGCTTAATACATGGACGCACGCCACATTACGTCGAGATCCATGAACGCGTTGTCTGGATGCTCAAGCGAGCTTTGAGCAGGGGTCATCTCAGATTGTTAATTTCTACATTCCTACGTCAGGAGTCGCTCTCCTTCATAGGACAACCACTCTCAATTTCCCACCAGCTCGCGATCACTTGGTAATACTCAGTGTACTGATCTAGAGGTATGATGATGATTGATGATAGATGATGGTTGCTGCTGATGATGATTAATGATGGTGATCAAGATCAAGATATTATTAAGGCGTAAGCCGTTGATGCCACTACTCCTCGCCAACACTTCGACCCTCTGCCAGATCCCGCAGCTGCTGCACAATAGACTCTCGATGATTGATGATGATGATAATGATGACGATGATGGGGGGCAGAGTTGACTGACTGGAATTCAAACTAGGAGAGCTTGTTGCCCTCGCTGCTGAGCGGTATTTCCATCCACAGACTCGAGCCCACCGCATTCTAATGAGCTCCCGTGACGAGTCTTGTCTAGCACCGAGAAGGAATCATGCCGCAGCATTCCGTACATCGCATTGAATCGTGGGAATATGCTAATGATCTGAAGGCTTCACAATCATTAAGCAGTTTTAAGTTAAACCTAAAAACTCACCTTTTAAAACTTGCTTTTACTTAAGATTATTTTATAGGGTTATTTTTTAATATGCCTTCGATAATAATTTATTATAATGCAATTTTGTTTTGTATAGAATTAGATTTTATTCTTCGTGTGATTTAGTCTATACGTTTTTTTAATCTGTACAGCACTTTGAATGGCATCCTTTGCACGAAATAGTGCTATAGAAATAAAGACCTGATTGATTGATGTAAAATGAAAACGAATTTTTCAAAACACATAGGTTACCTGCCCCCTCCTGCCACGTAATGCTCAACCATTCTTAAAATAATGGGAAATAATGTTCATGTACAGTTTACATACGTGCAAAAATAGAGTGCAAGAAGAGCTTATGTAGATTTCAACTGAATGTTTACGCCACGTTAAGGAATATAATTATGCCTCCAGAAATACCGAACAAAAGAACGAAACATCTACTTTTCCGACCAAATGTATTACAGTTGCCATTCTGGAAATAATGCTAACTACATCCGGTGGTGCTAGTGGTGTTACATGACAAAACACTGTTGAGGATGCAAGGTGAAAAACCATCACAACTGTCCTGCCCTGGTTATGGCTCAAGAATTCCAGGATTGGGTGCAGTGTCGTGAATTGAAGAGGCCTTGGGATTGGATGGAATTGAGAGGGCCTGCACCACAGGGCTGTCCTTGGGCAGATAACTTAAGAAAAGGACTAACAACAAAAAAATGAACACTCGACAATAACAACGTGGCCTTAAAAGAAAACAAATATGTAATAGGCGAAGGTTTTGGCAATGACCCTTCTTCGTAGCAGAGAAGTAGAGAGGTCGGAGAGATAGAGTCTAGAATAATAGTTGGAGGCTGCAGCATCAAGAAGAAGTAGGATTTAATATGTGCAATTGGCGTAATCGCTTTAGTTGACGTTGTTCATAACTCTCTTACAGAGCAGTGCATCACCCCATGTGTTAAAAAAATGGCCCATAGAAAGAGATATGATATAACTGCATCCGAATTCCCTTTCTATCCACACACTGCGAGACGAACTTCCCCGCATACCATGCAAACAGAGAGTAATCTTCGTCGCACGTCAGTGAAATTGATACGTAGCCTTGATTCTCTGAGCTGGAATTCATCCAATTTGAAGTAACAATGATCCGATTCAACTTTTGAGTTTTTTTGTTGCTGCTGCATTCAATCATTGACGACCGGGCTGAGGCCCCCAACTCACTCGATTGGAGGGTCCTGGTTTAATCTATGGGCAGTGGTTGAATCCCAGATTCGATCCCAGGATCTCCGGAGTGCTGGCCCGGTATCTCAGAGTCCTGAGTCACACATCCACCACATCCTTACCGCAGCTTAATTGCAGCTTTCCCCCATCTCCACCGATAAACATTGTATATGGGCTGTTCTGTTTTATTGCATTGTTATTCCAAACGTAAGTGGACATTTCATTCTATGTTTACAAATTGAAAAAAAATTACGCTAAATTGCTGCAATAACGTTTTTTTTTTAAGTTTGTTATTATTATTATTTTTCTTCTTCTTTAATCCATCTATTTTCCCCAACAATGTTATGCGCTTGTAATGACGTCTCAAACATTGTCCACACTGCCGTGCAGTATGTGCGTTTGATTTCCAGTAAACACTGCCTTTATAATTGATTTTCGAAATAATGTGGAATTAAGTACTATGATTACTCCAAATTGATTTTTTTAAATACAAAACACGTTTTCCACATACGTTTTATTGAAACACGTTTTTTTTTATAATATTCTGCAAATAGTCATGAAATAAGTTCAGAAGTGGGCCTTTTTTAATACATAGTACAAACGCACACTTAAATCCAGGACATAAAAAGACAAAACATTACGATGTTTCTATGGGTGGCAGTTATATGGAATTCATTAACATGCGTCCGTTGGCCAATGTATGTCAACAAATATTGCATGCGCGGAACAAACACATACGAGCAGTGGCAAGGTCCAAGGTTCTGCAGCTTGGAAACAAAACAATTCCAAATTGTGTTCATAAAGCATTCGGGAGCGTGCTCGCGGAGTGCACCACTCTGCACGGTGATCCGTTCATAGATACTCCCCTGATTTTATAATCACCCACATTTTTGTTTTGACACGCCCTCTTTATGCGTGCTATCGGGTCGCACTCGCGCGTTGCTCGGTTCGACGTTTCGCTCCCGGCGCGCGGTCGCGAAACGTCGAACGGTGCGCAGTGAGTAACCTCGAAAGGCACTGCAGACCTGCGCAGAGCAAACCACAACAGCCTAGGGCGGTAGTGTCTCGCTTCCCCCTTCACCAACCCGCACTGACCAGCGTGGTGAAGTATATTCAAACAGCCCTAATGACCAGTACAGCATGGGGAGGCCTCGTCCAGCAGTGGATTGCTAAAAAGGGCCGTGCGTTATCATGAATTGTTACATTATAGTATCGATGCTCCACAATGCCAATTATTGACCCAGGAGAAGTCTAAGTGAGTCTTAAGACTCTTTTGTTTCTTTCAGGATGGCCCCTTGCACTTGGATGTTTGGGTCAACTCCACGAGCGCTTGGCTTCGCGTCGGAGGAAATTGGAGATGCCGGAGAAAACCCATCACGCGTACGAGAGGGGTTGACCAACATCTCTTGGCCACGTTCTGGCCCCGTGCCTACAACGCCTGTAAAGCTCCAGCGAGCACCGACCAGGCTCAAAAAAAGCTGCTTAGCTTATGAGATATGATGAGATCGAGCGCAGTGGTGGGTTCATTTAAATAGTCGCGTGCGTCTTTGTCGTACGGATGTGAATCACGGACAATGAAGAAGGCAGATGAGGGCAAGGAAAGATTTGTTTTTGAGATGCAACCGTATCGGTTCATACTCGGCATTCCCTGGACAATAAGCACAAACGAGTGCACACTAGATGGCTTTGCAAGGCTATTGAAGGACGTGCACGAAAGGGAGGTTCGTTACTCGGAGCAGATCGTGACGAGAAGGCAGCGGTAGCCTTGAAGGGAGACCCCCCGCAAGACAAAGCGCGACGGGAACAGGCGTAAAGGGGAGATCGTCAACACGGTGGGAAGACAGTGGCACAGATGGTAACGATCGTAATCGCGTCTCAGCAGAGATACGCTCAAAAAGTGATGCGCATGCTTTCTGTGCGTTTGCGAATGTATGGTGTAAGTTGTTGCGGGGAGTGGGAGTGCAACGGTTAAGCTGGCGCTCTGCGCTACGAACCCGGCGACCCGAGTTCGCTTCCTTCATAGGTGCTCGCTAACAGTACTTGCTCCAACCGTCTGTTAAGTCTATACGGGGGATCTTTGTCTTTGTAAGTTGTTAGTACACTGTGCAAAGATTTTAGGTGTTTTTTTTCCACAACAGAAGCCAAGCCATGCTGCTGACATCACGCAGGATTAACATGCGCATGGCCCTGCTTGGCCCCAGAGGCAGATTGAGATGTTTTGTGAAGCCAGTGTAGCACGGTTTGGTTCTGGCTCGGCACGGCAAATAGCAGGTGGAAAAATACCAATACCGTGGAAGACCTGCGATTGCTCAGTTCGGATGTGCTAGTGAAAAAGGTTTGTTAGTGACTGGAAAACAAAAACCTGGCCACGCACAACAGCAGTGACACTTGCTGTGTTCATCTCATCTGGATCTCCCATCGGTCAGCTCAACCTAAAATGAGTCTGCGGTTCGGTGTGATCCCATATCAGACCCCGAGCGAAAGAGTTGGCCGTGCATGGTGCTGGCCACACCACCACTCTGCTCCCTTACATCACTTGTCACGACAGTAAAACATTTCACTACACGTAAATTACAACAGTGGTTAGCACTAAGCACATGGCATTATGAACCCCTGCAACCTGTATTTGATTCATGGCCACAGCTAATATCAGTGGTGAGTGATATCTGATCCAGTCCTAGCGCCCTATTCACCAACCGGTACTGACCATCATGGGGAAGTATGGTAAAAAAATAACCGTAACAAGCCACAATTATGGGAGGCCTTCATCCAGCAGTGCATACAAAAAAAGTACCCTACATGTGTGGCACATTAGGAATGGACCACTCTTTTAATTACTTCCTCGTGCAGCAAGGCAATAAAGTGTGGTTTTGTGAAAGTCCTTATGTGCTGTGCTGTACATCAATGCACGTGTGTACACCAGCACGTGATAATCGAGTTGGGCCTGTGGGTGGCTGGCAGGGTTATTGATGAACCTGACTTGTACACCAGTCACGTGGTTAATGGCGACTCGGTTGAGGATTGCTGTGTGTGACACACGTGCTGTTGCATTTTACAGATTGACCACAATAAATGTGTTTGCCCTCAATTTGGAGCACCTGCCCACGTCCTTCATCTCGAGTGTGCAACGCATGTACACATACATGTACGGGCTGTGTGTACATTTGTGCATCTGCACTCTTCTCGTCCATCTGCCGGGCCGGGTTGGCGGGGGGGGGACAAGCCAAGTGTGAATATAACAACAAAAAAACGTCCTTCTTTTCTGCGACCAATCTTGATTTGAAGCGAACAGTCAAATCAGCATCGCTCCGCTCAGGACAGGAGGCAAAATCCACAGCACTCAAAGCAGATCTCCACGCAGTCCGACGACTCGCAACATCCCTGCAGCATCCCGCCGTCAACGTCTCCGCACAGCCCGCACGGGGGCACGTCCTCCCCGGCCTCGGGGCCGCAGCAGCAGCAGCAGTAGACGCAGCAGCAGCCGCAGCAGCAGCAGCCGCCGCCCAGCTCGGCGCCCGGGCAGCAGTCGGCGCCGCCGAGACAGCGTTCGGCATCGCCGGCGCCGCTCTCCTCCGCGCAGGAGCAGCAGTGGTGGCAGCAGCAGGCGCAGGACACCAGCATCCAGCACAGCGACGCAAACTCGCAGTAGAGGCACGCCAGCACGCTGCGCACGCAGCAGTCTGCAAGCGGCGGGCGAGGTGGATTGAGGGACGCATAGCCAGGAGGAGGGTTCGTTGTTGTCGCGGCGAGCGCGGGAAGGTTTTGCAGCTCGCCGTGTTTTGATTTTTAAACTCTGCGGCTACTTTTAGCCGCGCCGGATTATTGGGATCGCTGCATGGGATGGGGATTAAGGACTACAGTTGATGGCGTCCTCCCAAATGAAGCGGTATTTCCCCTGGGCACGCAGCTCGCTCCGTTTTAACTAGATGTCGCGTCTTGGAATTGCCAGGAGCGTTTTTGTGTGTGGGGGGGGGTTTGCTGCGTTGGTTTAGTAAACTTTGTTCAAGTGCGTGTTTACCCGCACCTCGTGTCAGCTGGGGTGGATTGATGGTAAAGCGGATTTACGCAGCGAGCTATGAACCGGGCAACCGTCAGTAGCGAGTGATATATACACGTGTATATATATCACCTGGATCTGAGCCCTTCCCTTCACCAATGCGCATTGACCAGCACGGTGAAGTATGGTCAAAGAACCCCCATCAGCAACACAGTACCTCCGATTAGCGCGGTTGGCTACGTACGTACGTTTAACATGTATGCTTTCACGAGAAATATTACCAAATAAGAGTTTTCTTTGGGTTATATCATGTGAATATAAATGCGTCGTTAAACCCGCCACCACCCGACACAGCCAATTAGTAAGGTTTGTCACGTAACAAAACATGCCAATTAGTTACTAGTACAGCACACCGGTGTGTTGGAGAGTAAACACAACAACATTTACAATTCGAGCACCGTGACTCGTTCGCCGGTACGATGTGAAAGAAATTAAACATAGTAATGTCCAGCGTTGGGTGGCCTTCATCCAGCAATGGGTTCACAAAGAATCTATGGATTGACTCTTTTTATATCTTGCAGGATTGTTAATATGCATGTCTATATTTGAATCTAAAGATTTGTATCCTGCTAGTATACCCCTAGGCATGTGTACATATATACCGTGTATATAAGTAGAACTTCGTCGTCGGTATCTACATAAAAAAAAAAACTACTTAAAAAATTTGGCCAATTGTTTTTCCAGATAAAAAGCCAATGTGCCCTGTCTGGAAAGCCATTAGGGAGATGAACTAAAGCACATTAGGTCTGCTTATATATGCTTTTACCCGTAATGCCACGATATGTAATGTGAAAAATGTGTAATTATGTTAGGGGTCACCCATCTAAGTACCAACCAAGGCTCGAACAAAGCTCAGATTCCCAGATACAACAAAATAATTTCAGGTGGCTCGGTCACACTTGTAAACAATCGTTTACAACTCGTCCGTACGCACGCACACACGTCAATGGCGAATACTTGAAACGGGCAGGGCAGGAGTGAGGAGAGAAAGCCACAGGGCTGGCATTAGTCTCGGAGCGAGAAAGCAGTTGCATGGTCGATGCAGGCGGGCGGGGGGGGGTTAAGCTACAGCTCCGCGTGCGCTTCTTCGACTACTCGCGGAAGCACAGGTTGGAGCACTCGATGCAGAGGTCCACGACCTCCACGACCTCCACGACCTCCACGACCTCACAGCACTCCTCGCACGGCGTGAAGTCGAACTTGGGGTGCCGGTGGACCTCGCCGAGTAGGGACCCTCGCGCGGCGTGGACGCCCCGTCGCGGGGGGCTCGCCGGCGGCGACTGGGGCGGCGTCGCGGTGCGGGTCACAGGGGCAGCAGGTGCCCGCCCGCCCGCCCGCCCGCCCGCACGCCCGGCACAGCGGCGCCAGCAGGGCCACGAGGCAGCAGCGGAGGGGCAGCGTCAGGCACGGCTCGCGGCAGCGACAGAAGAGGCGGGTGAGGAGGAGCGAGGCGCAGCCTGAAGAGCAGGGAGGAGGCCACGCCGGTTTGGGGAGAGGTGCAGAGGGAGGGAGATCAGGTCGTAGGAGACAGGGGAAGGATGGGCAGAGGGCAGTGAGCGGAGGCGGTTAGAGGGAATTGAAAAGAGTGTGGCAAAGGGAAGACCAAGACCTCCCACAAATGAGATCTGCTACATTGTGTTGATTGGCCAAATCCCATCGATGAGTGTTTCGCGTGTGGGAGGAAACCGGAGTATCCAGAAAAAGTACTCTTTGTTTTTTTCGGTAAAGTCACGTGTAAATAAGAAATAATATAATAACATAATAGCGTACGACGTTTCGGTTGCAACACAAGCAGCCATCATCAGGTACAGAAGAGCTAAATTTACGAGAGAGAGGAAACACATAACCCCAGATGTATATACAGACGCTCTGCCTGTGTGTGGGCCTTGGTGTTTCCGAGTGTGTGCTGCTGCGCCCCCTTTGCTCCATGCATACCTCATGCTAATTTGTCCCGTTGCCTCTCAGCCTTACCTTCTCTGCCTATTTAAGGCGACTTCACTGTGTGCGTGTCTGTGCTGGTTCGCTCTACTTGGATGTCTATGTGTGTGTGCGCGGTCTGTATTTAAAATTTCATACTCAACTTGCAATTTAGCAATCTTTGAAATAGCGTAATCAACCAGACTATGCGTTAATTGTGTTTTGACCGACCGTCTGTGTTGCTTTATATGGTTTCCAAATTTTGCTAAACCCTGTTTGTTTGGTATGCTTCTCTCTCTGCGTCCCCTGTTGTATCTGTGTTAGTTCCCCCCTACTTGGGTGTCTGTATATACATCTGGGGTTATGTGTTTCCTCTCTCTCGTAAATTTAGCTCTTCTGTACCTGATGATGGCTGCTTGTGTTGCAACCGAAACGTCGTACGCTATTATGTTATTTTATTATTTCTTATTTATACGTGACTTTACCGAAAAAAACAAAGAGTTATTCCTGCAGTCACGAAAGCTTCGAATCAAGTCTCTATCCAGAAAAAGCCCCACGCTGCCGAGGGGGTGACACTCAATGCTGCCATCTCCTGGTCAAATCGCAGTAGGGAAGGTAGCAAAAGATCTGAAGAGGTGGAGTGAACTTGTGTTGATAGCATAAGGCTACCTGATGATGATGATGATCAGGTAGCCTTATGCTATCAACTTGTGTTGATAGCATAAGGCTACCTGATCATCATCAGGTAGCAAATAGACATTAAGGGAAATAAATGGGCAGCATAGCTTTCCCGGGCGGTTGGGAAAGGTTATCAGAGGAAGGTATATAAATACACCAGGGGGGGTGGGATACATTGTGTGGATTTAGGAAATGGAATGTTGTGGTGGTGGTGGTGGCTGTGCGGAATTCTAAAAAAAACAGACGATACTGTATATGATGAATAATTAAAAGTGAAGTGCTGATAATGGTAAATGGAAAAAAAACCCATAATAAACAAACAGTAATGAGAGGCCCTGATGTCTTGTTATGTTTGACCTCAGCTTGATTAAACCGTGACACATTGGGCTGTACTTCAACACTGTGTGTGTGTGTGCATAATAATGAGACTGTCTTCTCTGCAACCACCAGCACCACCAGCACCGTGCTCGCCCAAAGTCTGTTCTGTGTCACTAAGCGGCACAGACGTGTCTCAGCAATTCTCATCGTGTCTCAATGCCCGGTGAACTCAAATCGAAAATAGATAATGTTGTTGAATAATTGGTTGATTTAATCAACACCAGTGAAATCGCATAATAAGGCAGACAATTTCCAGTGTTGAACAACGCTGGAAAAATTAGCGTTTTGTATTTCAGTATAATTGTATTTATTTATTTCCTCATCACGATTGCTGTACAAGGGCAACACCACTAAATGGCCTGCAACAAACGGCACTGTTGAGGGTATGATTGGTACGAGTTAACGTGTTTCTTGAATTGAGAAAGATGATAATGACGTGCACCTGTGTCAAAAGAGGATTTTATTTAACTTTGTACGTGTGCACAGCTTTTTTTTATCAATCCACCGCTGGATGACGCCTCCCCGCGCCATCTCAGAAGTTATTTGACCATACTTCACCACTCTGGCCGGCGCCGTTCCGGAAAGGCAGTCAGCGCAGACGTGGGAGCGTCGAAGTGCAGTATAACAATAGATTGTCTTACACTTCCCTCTGACTTTTGTCAGGGGCTCTTGTGCTGCCATGTTCATATTGCACGCACCAGAAAAATATCCCAGCAACTTCAACAAATTCATCTAGCCACTCAATCTCTTCTGCCCTCGTTTGGTTTTAAGTGTGGTAGCACACTCGACTTGTAATCCAGCGTTTGCGCTTCAATGCACCAACACGGCAGTTGCAACAACGGTGAAAATATTTTCTAAAGGCCCCGGCCTCTGTCCACCCAGCAGCATAAACGATTACACCACAGTCGATCAACAGGTTTGGGTGTGGCGGGGTAAAAGCAAGGGTGACTCTTCCAAGAGGTCTTGCCCAGTATAAAAAAGTAGGTCAAATAATAATTAATAATAATTACATTCATATAGCGCTTTTCATCAAGGAATCCAAAGCGCTGTACAGGACACACCAGCAGCAGATACTCGGCATAATAATATAATAATATTTTAATACTCTCGACAGGAGCTCTCTGGACCTCCCTCTCGTTGGAGACCCTTCTGCCAGCAGTGGCATTAGCAAGCAGTTGCAGGAGTTACACCTTGACCTTTACCTTCTGCCAGCAGTGGCATTAGCAAGCAGTTGCAGGAGTTACACCTTGACCTTTACCAACTTTACCTGTCCTGAACATTCACTTTTCTGAATATCAAATATTACCTATTTTGGAGCGCCAAGGTGGCAAGATGTTAACCACTTTGCCTGGTATACAGGAGGTCACGGGTTTGATCCCGACACTGAGGCCTGTATATTTGGAGTTTGCGGTGTCTCTCTCTCTCTCCCCGTGGTCGTGTGGATTTTTCTTAGGGTCCTCCGGTTTTTCCCTCCACATGTAGAATCGACGTCACGCGTTTAGAATAAGCCACTTCGTTGAGCTATCATTTGTGGCAAGGTCGCTTCTAAAAATAAAAGATAGAGCTATATCGCTCAGTGGGCCTCGCCTGGTAAAATTAAAAAAAAAATAAGTTTAGTTTGTCTTCGTGGCATGCACCAACACGCTCTCCAAACCACGTGTCACTCAAGCCCAGCACGTACCATCATTTGCGCTGCTCCGGGGGGGTCGCGACGACTTCGAGTGCTGGCTGAGCTTCCTGCGCTCGCCGGCTCGCCGGGCGGGCGTGGCCCCGGTCGCCCGCCTTGGTTCGTATCGAACCGGCGGAGGGTCCAGCGCGAGTGTCGGCACCGCTGGCGGCAGTCGGCGCTCACGGCCCGCGAGGCCGCAGGGCCCGACCGGATTGTCAAGGCCATCTCCCCGGTCCGACGCGAGTCGCGATGCGCTGGCCGTCGCCTCTTTGGCCCCTCCGATTTCTTGTGGGTTGACGTGTTCTCGAGGAGCCGAGTTCAAAGGTCGAGGGCCTGGATAAAAACACATTAAGATATTGAGTGATTGCTTTATTTTCCGCTTGAGATAAAAAAAATCATCTTTTGTTGTCTGTATTTACTCCGGGAATTGCTGCGCCCCATAAAAGAGTTGTGGCGAGATTGTGATGATCCCACAGTCATTTGTCAGCATTATGTACCTGAAATTCATTCTCCAGCAATTTCATTTGTTTCCAAAAGGCAATGCCAGTGGCATGGCCAATGAACAAATGACTTACCACTCGTTTTTTTTTACACTCCGCAAAATTGTGATTTGGTCACCAAATTGTCCTTCTAGAATTGTGCTTTTTATTTTTACTAGAATGAAGCTAACGTTAATTAAAACGCACACGTGCGCGCGGTTTGTTGAAAGCAACAACAAAAACGCACGACTGTATTGCATTTCGCCAGGCCGTCAAAACTTTACGCGTTTCCAGCGCCGGCTTGCTCGTTGGCTGCTTCGGCGTAACGGCGCATTGGTATGCTGCTCGAGAGCCCTGGAAATGTCTTCACAAACATTGGGAAGCCAGGTTTTAAAGGACAAGCAGCTTTCTCCCCCCCCCCCCATCCGGTGTCCATTACGGCATCGGAGATTGGATCAAGGGCATGACGGGGTTCGGCGGTTGCTCCGGGTGTGTGGAGCTTGCGAACGTTAAAGCGGGGGATAGGACGTGGCGAAATCATTCCCGGAGTTGTTTGCGAGACTGGAACCGACATCAAAGGCTACAGTGAAAGGGCAGCGAGTGTGGCCCACGGGCTTAACCCCCCCAGCGCCCGAGTGCAATAACGCCTGGGGGTCTGCCTGCGTTCAGAGTCACACGCTGAAGATTAGATTAAAACTCATTGGTACTGGTGGATCCCACGCCAAGTAAATTTCGCAAAGCAAACACGGTTCTCCGTGCCCATTAGTCCACACGGAGAAAGCCCCCCCCCCCAACCCCACCCCACCACCCTCCGTTCTCAAATGTTAGGGCTGGGAATCTGACTCTGCGGGGTTGCATACGAGGAGGATGTGGAGGAAGAGGTTTAACGTAGATTGCCGGCGACCAGCAGAGGGCACACGATAAGATCGGCCGAGAGGCCGCGTAGACTCGAGCGTGGGATGTGATGCGTCCAATTAAAAGTTAAAGGTGCTGCCCGGGCAATTGCCTGCTCACACCACTGTTGGCGGAAGGGCCTCCACCGCTAGAGGGAACTCTCGAGAACCCCATTGGAGGGTATTTGGCCTGCTCGTCCAGTAGCGGCAAGACTCGCGAAGGACGCTGCTGGGCAGTTGGAAGCAGTCGCCCTCCAACAACAACAACGGATGGCAGAGGAGGGACGCTCACAACAACGAGCGGAGCGTATAAAACGCAGCGAGTTGACACAGTGGGGCGGCACAGGTGGTGTGTCCGTCAGTCATCTTCGTCGATCGACCCAATGGCACCTGGGTCTGTTCCGTGACCTCCTGCCAGCAAGCCTTCGCCACTTCACGTGGCCTCGAGGTGCACCTAGCCTGGCACAAGAACTGCAGGGGCGTCACCGCCACTTCGTGGCGAACGGCCACTGTTGTTATTGGTGTGTTTAAATGCCCGTAAAAGCGTTGCCCTTTTAACACAGGGTAAACAGTGTGCAGGTTCCCTGCAATAAATGTGTCAACAACGCAGCGAACACCTCTGAGTAATTGGGCTGCATTGATCCCTGGTTTCTTTCCCTTTTGAAAAAAAAAAGTGCCGCAAATGAAAAATGGCATATTGTTTAAATTACAAGAAGGCATTTAGCGGAACATCAATGTGACTTTATACAAGTGCCGGGCAGTACATATGAAACGCATCCTGTTTTCACGGAAGATTTAATCGCCTAATTACCGAGTCTTGTGTTTTTCCGTCCCAGGCCGCATTTCAAGTGATCAATCACGCCCACAGTTTGAAAAGAAAACCAGACACAAATTCTGAGCCCACACAAGGCCCGTTAGCCAGGGAAATTTCGACATAAACCTGCGATTCACAACCGTATTATTCACAGATGCGCGATGTACAATTCACAATCGCTTGCCAGCGCCGGTATTCTGCCATCCAGTTATTCGTTCGCAGTATGAGACGCACATGTTCGACAAATCACTTTTGCTTGGGGCCTGTGTTCTATTAAAATGTTCAGTCCGGAGCTAGATGCGGTTAAGCACGTCTGTGATCTTGGCGCTTTTAGAGGCAATGGTTGGTGGATCACACAGATTTGCGAGTCTCCCGAGGTGGCCAGCTGACTCAGAGGTCAGAGCGGTGGGCTGGCACCGCTTGAGTTCCTGGGTCCATATCCAGGCAAGCCGCCCGTGGTTAAACTGGCTTCTCAAGTCTCGCGAGTTGAGCCTGGTTACACATGACTGCGGAAAAATAAAGATCAAATTCTAGTATTGGTTATGGAGCATTTCCAGCACTGGGATGCAAAAGAAGATATATTGGTTTTGGCTGTCATGTGACAAATATTGCTCTCAGCGGCAGAGCGGTTGGAAGAGTGCTGCCCACTTATTGTGTGGACCAGAGGTCACTTGAAGGTATCTCGGGATCAGAATCTTTATTCAGGCTGCAGCAATCCGATGAGCTATGAAGCTCTTTTCCACTTGGAGTTCTGTGACCTCTGCGTGTTTGGGCCAACCTCCGACATAAAGCCCTGCACTGAATGGATGCTCCATCTCATGACGTGATGTTAATAGCGCGATCGGAATAAAATTGTGGCAAAAGGCAAGACACAAATCGTGAAACTCCCAAACCCGCTGGGCTGTAAAGTGGCCAGGAGATGTAAACCCATACGTGTGAAATTGTGAACGTCAGTGTCAAATATGTTTGTACCACATTACGAACACTTAAGTAATTGAATTTGCCAAAAAAAAATCCCATCCTGGGCCCTCCTACAGAAGTTGGCGAGACTTTTCCAGATGAATGACATGATCAGGGGCTCAGTCACGGTTAAAAATGCAGATACGCTGCAACAAGACGAGGAGACGAGGTCATTACCTCAAGGGCTTCCCAAGAAGAAACACTGTCACCACATAACTGGGCGACGCCAGACATAAGCCCCAGTTTGTTTGACCCTGGTTCCTTCCGCATCTTCAACGAATTTACTGAGGCACGCGGACACACATAATTATAATCATAATATCTATTTATGCTGGAGGAATCCGATGAGCTATGAAGCTCTTTTTTTCACAGATGTCCAGTCGGGTCGGGTCAGGACGTTACAACAGCAATAAGACACATGATCGGAGTGCAAAGTATAGGAAAGGTAAACAAATAACTAACACAAATTTCCACGTAAAACTAAACTATTTGAATCTTACCGGGTAAAGGCCACTGAGCTATTAGCTTGCTTTTCAAATGTCACCTGGCCACAAATTATAGCTCAACAAAGTGGCTTATCATATGGAAATTGAAAGCAGCAAGATAATCTAAATAATCTAAAAGCATGTTTCTAAATGTGGAGGGAAAAACCGGAGGACCCAGAGAAAAAAATCCACGCGACCACGGGGAGAGAGGGAGACACGCAAACTCCGAATTTACAACAAGCATCAGGGTCCGGATCGAACGCACGACCTTCAGTATACCAGGCGAGGTAGTTAACATCTCGCCACTCCAAACATAAATGTGGCCTTGCATGCCTGCCTGCCTCGTGCACGTGGCTGAGCCATCACATGCGGTCTTGTCTCAGCAGACTTCCTCAATGCATACTTCATGACCATGCAAATCGGTGACCGCACAATGAACTTTTAACTGCTTTCAGGCCAAGCTGTTTGTGGTTCAATGCTTGCGTTTGCCTGCATCTTTTGTTCGTAACATTTTCTATCCCTTTTCAAGAGGCTGCCTCCCGTGTACGTGTCAAGTGCATCGTCTAAGAATCTTGTTTTGACCAAGCGTGGAGCGGTGGCACGACGGTCAGCGCACTGCGCTATGGTGAAACCTGCGATCGGAGTTTGATTCCCATCCACGGCTAACATCAGTGGCAAGTAACGTAAGAACACGCCGTGCCCCCCCCCCCCAACTGTGGTCAAATAACCCCCATAACCAACGCGGTATGGCGAGGCCTTCATCCAGCACCCGACTGACAAAGGGGCTGGGAATTACTATTATTATTTATTTAGACCAAAAATGTTCCTGTGTGTGTGTCAAAGTGCCTGCAGACAAGAAAAAATATATCATGTCATTGCATGATATCTTTGTCTGTCCTTGCATTGCATCATGACCAAAATTAGGAGAATTACCCACCATCACTAAATCACTAAATGGTCCCTTCCTGCTTGTTGGGTCTAAATGCCACTTACCGTTAAATGTCACCTAACGTGCAAGCACTCGACTGGGGATGACAGGCTGTCACTGCTATGTCAGGAAACGAAGCCGTCACCGCCACCGCCGCCGCCAAATGCAGCGGCCCGGTTACCGGGGGAGAGGGCGGCAGCGCTGCCGCTTCAGCGACGGCGAAGTGGCCGGTGCACAGCAAGACCCTTTGTTGATTTGCTTATGATCAAACCCTTTTCCTCGTTATATGATCTCAGCTTGTCACCTCCCCGCCTTTCCTCTTCCTCTCGTGTTTTCTCCTCTACTTCCCCTTCTTCCTCTAACCCCCCCCCCACCACCACCACCACCCACCGGCCCCCTCCCTTTGCGCTCCCTATGGCCTCTTAGATCACGGGCCGGGGAACGCGGAGTGCTTTATCGACGCGCTCGTCGGTCACTCGTTGCGCGATTCTGGCTGCTTTGACCGGTGTGGAAAAGCGGCACGGAAATATTATCCAGGCAGCGACAAGCTGGGAAGTTTGCGGACGGACGCATGGGCGCGACGCGCACATTGCACGTGAAAAGCACGCGGTCGGGAGATGTTTGTCGGCGTAAACGCAAGGATCGTCATTGTTGGCAATAGCCAGCGATAACAAACAACAAAATACACCCGACAGTGATCACGGACAACCTTTGTCTTTGTACGTCATAATCATTTGACAGCCCTTTAACAAATCCACTGCTTCGTATGCCGTA